ATTCTGGGAGTTGAAGTCCACCCATCAGAAAGTTGCCAAGGCTGAGAAACCCTGCTCTAGATACATTCACTTCATGCATTTCCTTTCTTTATGGAGCCAGGAAAGTATATCCTGTCCTTCACTCCTTGTAATATTAAGAGTTTTTGAACTTTATCCACTGGATTGTTTATTTGGCAGATTTTTGGACATTTATTAATCTTACTATTAAGTTTCTACTGTTTTTTTCCCCATCATTTGAAGACTTTCTTTATATAAAAGCTAGGATACAAATAAATTAAATAATAAACCATACCCAAGGTTCCCTCCTCACTGCCTGTCTCCTTACTCACTGGAATATTTGTCCGATCAAAGAAGGAGGATGCAGTGTAGGATGAACTGAATACCAATATGGTATAATGGAAAAAGCACTGAACCAGGACTGGGGTTCAAGTCCACCTCAGACATGGAGGTTCACTGGGAGGGCCAGTCAGTTGCTCACAGCCCACAGGCTTGTTCTGGTGAAATAACTGAAGGAGGGCTATTTCTGCTGCTTGTGGAGGAAAAGCAGGATATAAATCCAACAAATAAATACTCAAATTCACACAATGCGGTTACTTAAACCTTTCAAACAATTTTAGTTTCTGTATTCAAAATGATCAGGATAACCCAAGGTCCTAGTTCAGGAACTGCTGTGAACTTAAATTCAAATGGTGATATAAGGAATAGAAACGCCCTTTCTCTGTGTTCTAGGTGCAGACGAAGCGAACCTGTACAAATAAACTGTCAGAAGCTTTGGGGCAGGGTCTCAAAATACAGTTCTGAATCATCTGTGAAAGGCTCCCCTAACAGAAAATAATTATCTATGGCAGAAAAGGAATCCTTTTTGGAAAAATGACAGAGGAAGTATTGTTCAAAGCTGCTTTTTCCCACGTCTAAAAATTTTTCCTACTTACTTTTTTAAATAAAGGGAAAGCCACTGACCCAAGCAGCTTCTGCACAGAAGAGGGGAAACCAGCATGAGCCTTCTCTGCTTGGAGAATTTGTTCTTCTAGGAAAGAAACATGATGTCCAGCCATTTTCACAAATGCCTAAGAGGCAGAAACAGATTAAGTCAACAAGATTATTGGTCTGATATCCTAATTTTGAAAAGACTTTTCCAAAGTTACGTTGTTTTTTTCAGCAACTGGAATATCTGTTTGCATGTGATAGTCATACTGAAATTATGTATGACATATGACCAATAGACTGAAGCAATACCGATCCCTCTTCTGTTTGTTATTAGTAACTAAAAAAAAATAAATGGAAAAATCCATGATGTAAACTACAGTTTGTGCTAGTCTCGTTTTCTCAAGCTAGTTATGTCTTAAATATGATTAAAAGAAAAAAGAAAAGAAATCCACACCTCTCTCCCAGATACTCCCTTGTATCCTTTATGAATGGTATATATTGGGCCATATTCCCTTATTACCAACTAATAAATCTTTCAGATCTGAACAGAGATTCACTTAGTAGACTGGATACACATAACACAGAAAGTCAGGAGAGTAGTTTTTAAAAGTATTTTTTAAAATTGCTCATGATTTCCTTCTATCTGAAAAAACAAAATATAAAATCATAATGAAGAATTATACTGACGGCATATAAAAAGCTTATAACGTAGCATAATAATTCAGTTATAATTGGCCTCCAGAAGAGTTTATTATTTTCTGAATACACTAAATGTGTGTCAATATACTGCATGGACCTCTTAGTGTTATGCTGATATTATGCTGGCTTAATAGCATGAAGATTACAGATCCTGGCTTGTATAGAACAATGTGAGCAGATTTGGGGTAAAACTGAGTTTTGGCTGTACTTAAAAGAATTAATTAAAGAATTGATTTCCCAGAGAAATAAATAGAAAATGGAGGTAAGTCATTTCAAACAGAGTGAAATTTATTATTATTGTTGGTCACACAGTCAACCAGATTTTTAGACTGGATTTGGCATTTCCATCCACCTATCAAGTCCTTCCCAAG